GTTGTTGGGAAAATTTGAAAATTACCTTTAATCAGAGCGAAAATGAGATGGCTAATTTGAGTGTGCCGGAATCGGAATCTGGCTGGAAAATGGAAAATTCCGACTGTGGGAATTGCCGTTCTTGTCATTTCGGCCAGTGGGAAAACTTTTTGGCGTGGGTGGGCGACAGAGACAACAGCTGTGCGTTGGAATGTGCCCCTCTCTTTACCGCGTCTTTGATCTTAACTTGATGAGAACTGGACTTGGTTCACATAAACAAAAGAAGTCGCTGTCCATGTTATGCAAAATTACCACACGGTAAGAAAAGTTGAATGTCCTTACGATACTAGAAGATCTTCTGGAGAGGCTTTAACAAGAACCACCGATTCTTACAGCAAAATGATCTTATAATTTTACATTTATTTTATTGGATTTAGTTAAGTAAAATATAAAATGATGTTTATTGTCTTCTTAGAAGCTTGTAAATAAAATTAAAAATAATAAAGGTATTTTATATTTCAGTTATTGCTGTTGACAGTTGAGTATAATATAAATATGTTGCTTTTTTAAACTTTTTTTAAAGTTTTATATTCTTTGGGTTTTTTTTTTGTGTGCAGACAGAAAGAGAGGCAGCTAGCACGCGTTTCGCTCGCCTGTTTTGATCTATGAGCTGCGATTACGAGGCGCAGCTAAAAGCTGCACAAATAAAGCGCGGCGATCTCCACAAGTTGATCCCCAAGTGAGGCAGCTGCTGCCTTTTTTTTCTGATGCTGCCAGCAGTTGCAAATGATGATGAGGCAGCGGCAACAATAACAACCACAACATCGCGGCTCAGGCCAGGAGGCCATGACAAGCGACAAGTTGTCGTTAGGCCCAAAATTAGATGCATTTTGTATGCCAGACATAGATCGCTGTTGAGAGCAATAGCTTACACTTGGAAAAACACAAGGGTTGCTAAATAATACAAGAAAAGAAAAAACAATTTCAGGTTAGGCGTCAGAATTTAAGCGATCGACTACTATTTAATTTGTACACACAAAAAAAAAAACAAGTCGGGATCAAATCGAAATGCGCTTGGTAACTTTCTGGTCTTCATACGCATATTGTTTTTACCATGCAATACTGGTAAAATTGATAATTGATATAATATTATTTTGCCAATTTCTCTCCCTCGGAGATTATTTGACTTCGAAAAAGAGTGCAATTAATTAAACGTGACATAAAAGTTCCTTAAAATATATACATATCTATCTTTATTTTCCTCAGTGGTTCCATTCAACTATGTGGGAAAAAGAAGGGAAGAGAGCGAGCAGGCTGCAGTTATGGGCTTAGGGTAAACATTTGCCGACGCATCAATGCAGCTGGGCAAAAGCAATAGCAACTGCAATAACAACAACACCATCGAAACAACATCCAGTAACAACAACATTAAGCTGCGACTGCAACTCAGAGCTTGTGGAGTGTGCAAATATTTTAGCAGCAATTTTCAGCTTAAATGCCTGCAAAACGAGGCGCATCGTGTGCCCAACAGCTTTTGGCGGCTCATAGGTCTTTCTTTCTTTTTGCCCCTAGCATAGGGTAATATAGTTATGTGCAGAATTTTCAACGACATTCGCATGCCACAAGGAGTATAAAAATATAATTTTTTTTCATTTGCATCAGCAGCTGTTAATAAATTTGGTATTAGCTGTCCATTAAAATGTATTTAAGATCGAAATAAAGTTAAAAATGTAATACTCTACAACTATTTTATTCCAAATCAAAAATAACAAAAGAGCTATATTGCTTATACATATGTAAAGTTTATTAAGGATAATAAGCAAACAAACCAATTTTAAACTGAACACCTTATATCATTTCAAATTACTATCTTGTAAAGAACCAATTTCTTGTATAACACCCAATTAGTGGGAACCACACGCAAAAGCGGTTGCTGATTTCGATTACCTGGCAATTAAGTAATATCTAAAATGAGTAATAGAAACTTCGTAATCTTGTAGATCGATTGCAATGGCTCTCTAATGTTCGGAGTCTCTCTCTGGGGTTCGGGGAATTTCCTAGCGTTAATAAGTAAGCAGCGTACACGTGATGGCAATGACTCTTGCTATCGGTTCATAGAGATCAATGCAAAACAGATACCCAGTTTTCAGTTCCAAGTTCCCAGACCTCTCAGCACTCGTATTGCGTCAATGTGTGACGACCTCGAGGCGGATCTTCGATGATTCCTTAATTTCAATCGGGAGCTCGGTTTTGTTTTGGTATTCCGCAGATTTGTCCCTGAAATTGTGCAGCAACCCCGTTCCCTATTCGAATTTCCGTTATGCCCTCGTTGTACGAGTACCGTTGGGTGTTGATTGATTTATGCGAATTTCTGATACACATTTATTAACAATTCAAATTTGAAGTTGAAGTTAAAAACTCAAGGCAAAAACAATTTCGTATATGCTGTAGTTACAAACTAAAAGAATTTTTAGTGCATAAATATCAATACATTTCATAATATCTTAAAAATAAAAATGAACTAGGTATTCAAAATATGGTTAATTAGACTCTTTGAATTTTAGTAATTGACAATGTTAATCAGGGTAAACCCCAAAAAAGTTTGAATAATTGGCTGCTCTAGGCACTTTTAAAATTAGTTTAAAAATATTTTAAAATTTTTTTTAGTTTCTATATTTTAAAAATTTTTAGGCTTGGGTCTGGCAGCTAGCCTTCATTAAATTTGTTTCTGCCAACTTTTTGTTTAAAATTCAGTGGCTGTAAAACTGTGCTGGTTTGAATCTATGTCTGCTTTAGCTGTGACTGCAACCTATGTGGTGACTTTAAATGACTGGGGTGAATTTGGTTATTTAAAAGTATTTGCAGGTCTTTTGGGTTTCTAAATGCTAGACCTTTTTATTTCGGTTTTCAATTTTTGGCTTACCGTTGCGATGTATTGCAAGGGCTAATTATTTACTTAGTTATTCAATTTATAACTTTTTTTTCTGACTACTTTTTCCAATTTACTTTAGGAAGGCAATGTTAATTTATATCACATTTTTGGTTTATACTAAGTCTTATTTTTATTGTGGTTAGATTTTTTCGTTGGTTTTGTTTTTTAAGCTTTATTTTACAATTTATTAGAATTCATTCATGTCGAGAATCCGCGGCAGTAGGTCAGCAGCCAATTAAATCGTTGAAGTTATCTTCCCTCTCATCATGGTCATTGTTTCTTTTAATTTTTTTCGAAGCTGATGGCTAAATGTCAAGAGGGTTCCCTTACTAGCTTAGTTCGTTTCGTTTTTTGAGCTCCTCGGATTCGGTTTTTGTGTGCTTCCTTGTTTGTGTCCCACGGACTTGACATTCACAGGGCAGCCAAACGGTTTTTCAGTTTTCCAGCTCTTGTTTTTCTTTTCCCGCTTTCCTTTCTGCCAACGTCAGCCCATTGTCGAGCCGAAGGGCTTAAGGGAGCCAGGCTGCGCTTTTGACGAACTTTTAAGTGATTTCCTTGCGAAGGACTCACGGGCACAACATGCACAGCAGCTGCGAGTGGATGACAAGTCCATGACTTTGGATGTCACTTGAACTACGGCTTTATATTTAATTTGATAAATTTTTTGACGTAAACCAATGTGGAGACAACGAAGCTGAAGAATTTGCAAAATAATTTAGACGGGGAGAACGTTTATCAAACAAACAGGGCAAATATTATTTTTTAATGCGTCTTAGTAGCTTCTGGTTTTGAAGTTGTACGCCTTTATAAATGATTTTAAGACTCTAGTGATTTCTAAATCACATTCTATAAGTTACAAAAAAAAACTTAAAAAATGCCTAAAAAATTAAGAAAACTTATTTGTACAATATTATAAAAATAATATATTTGTAAAAAATAGTAGGTACATTTGTTAAAATTGCGTGAATATTTTTCCTTTCAATTGTTTTTTATCCATTTATTTTTAAATACCTAACATAAAATTGTGTTTGTATTTTCCATGTATTGCGAAAAAATCTAGTATAGAACGATAAAGAGAGACGTTAGTAGCCACTTGGAAATTTTCTTAATCGAACTGCTCTTCACCTGACCGCAATTTTCATTGGCCTCTGACGGGTTTTCATTACCTTTTGCCACTTTGTTATTGCGTTGGCGTCTTAATAACCTTAGCCAAACTCAGCACCACTTCTCCCCCTCCCCTCGAGTAACCACTCAAGTGCAACTTTATTTTTAAGTGTACGAGAGACTAACTTTATGGAATGGAGAAGGAAACTTTTCCAGCGTTTTCTCTTCGTCCTGTGCCGAGTGTTTATTATTAAAAAATTTGTAGCCATTTGCTACCCTAAAGAAACTTGGCTTCAGGGTTTATGGCCAAGTTGCGTGCACACGTGTCCATGAAGGTTGAAAAAAGGGGGGTTAAAATGGTAGGAAGGGGGTGGAAAGTCATGTGTGAGACTGCAGCATCCATGACCAAAGTGTCAGAGTCCATGAAAGGCGATTAGGGTCAACTGGCTTGGCCATGGCTAGTTGGCCAGAAGGAGTGAAAAAGCCAAAACAAAAAATCCTTGACCACCTGTGGACGTTTCTCAAATCTGCCGGGGAAGTTAGCCACACTTAATTGGAAGTTGCCATAAATTGAGTTGCAAACGGGGTGTCCTTCAGTTGAAAAAAGAGCTGCCTTTATTCTATATTCTGGTTTATTTTTTTTACGTTTTCACATTGATGCAGTTGACTAACTATCAAGTAACACAAAGACAATTAAACTTAGGGCTAAAGTTAGCTGGAGGAAAAAGAAGCGTTAGGGCGCTGGGTTAATAAGTTCTTGGCAGAGTTTGCTGTATGTTAGTTGAGACAAAAAGAGCTGAGAGAATCACCAAAATCCCCGATTCTAGGCTAGTTTTAAAACACATTAGATTCGATCTAGTCTTTCTTATGGGCTAAACATATTCGTGGTCCAGTTGGCAGATCGCTGAGGTCGCTGATTGAGTTTCGTTTGAGTTCAGTTGAAGGTTGGGTTGTGTGTTCTTTGCTTTCCCAAAGCTGGCCAGGATTACCAGTTCTTTGAGCGACGTTCGGCGCTGTTGGAGCTCCTCAGCTCCTCACTCTCCCGTCGGCGGTCATCCTCACGATCGTCCAGCCTGTCCAGCTGCCAGAGATCATTGTTCAGCAGGCGACGTCCATTGGACCAACTCAAAGCGGCTCCAGCTCGTGCAGCATTTCCATTCAGCCGGGTGGTTATCAATCCATTGAGGTTTCCCGCCTCCAAGAGCAGTGGCGAACTGATCAGCTGAGCCTGAACGGTGGCACTGGAGGGCTGGCTGAGGATCAGGCTGGGCTGGGAGCTGCTACCGCTGCGATCGATGGTGATGCGTGCCTGGGGCAACTGGCGCCAGGCCTCCAGATCGCGTTCCCTGGTCAGCAGAGTGGTGGTCCTGGAAGAGCTGCTGGTGGTGGCGGCCGGCAGGCGGGAGGCCAGCAAAGTGGGCGGGTGCGAGACGACGGTGGCCTGGATGCTGGGCAGGCTTTGGGCCAAGAGGAGAGTCTGCTGATCGATCAATCGCTGGTTTTGGCTCTGACGACGCTCGGCCTGCTGGCGACGATCCTCACGATCTCGCTGTTCGCGTTCCCTGAGCTCACGATCACGGAGTTCTCGCTCACGAAGTTCCCGATCACGCAGTTCTCGCTCTCGCTGCTCTCGCTCCCTCTGCTCTCGCTCGCGCTGCTCTCGTTCCCTTTGCTCTCGCTCTCGCTCCTCCCGATCTCGCTGCTCCTGGAGGCGCTGGAGATCCCTCAGTTGCTGCTCCTGCTGCTGACGCTGCTGCTCCTGCTGTTGCACCTGCTGCTGGAACTGTTCCATGAGCTGCTGGGCCTGGTTGCGCGCCTGGTTCTCCGATTCGCGACGACTCTGGGCCTCCAGCTGCAGTTGACTGGCCTGCTGGGCCTCGGCCAGCGATTGCGCTTCGGCGATGGCCTGGGCGGTAAGACGGGTCTGCAGCTCCTCGAGGCTGTTGAAACGAGACGACGACGATGATGAAGAGGAGATCCTTTGCTGCTGCTGCTCATCCAGACGCTGCTTGGAGACAATGGCATTGAAGCCACTCACATCGTCGGCGGTGTACTCCACAATGCGACGAGTGCCGTCAGGTTCGATCAACGAGTACTGACCCTTGACCAAATCGCCGTCGCGCTTCTCCTCCTGCCGCTTGTCATCGCCGGTCAGCGAGTCCCTCACATCGTAGGCGAAACTGTACTGGGGACGGGTGTCGTAATCCTCACTGGAATTGGGGGCCAGGGTGGTGGCATCATCGTCGTCCTCGTTGTTACCATTATCATCTCGGTTCAGATCACCGCGCAGTTGCTGCTGCTGTTGAATGCTCGAGGATTTTGCCAGCTGGCTAAGATCGATGGGACGCAGGAAGGACGAGTTGGCCACGTTGCAGGTCAGCAGGCTCAGGCAGAGCAACAAGTATGTCTGGAATCGGAAAAGGATTCGCACAGGATTCGAATTAAAAAGCTGTCCGCCATAAATCACCCCATTGGCCTCATCAATTTGTCATCCCACAATGGTTTTCCCCATTTATTTGTTAGTTGCAAAGGGGTCATAAATTAAAAACGACAACGGGCGATTCATGTTGCCTGTACGGAAAGTTTGCGGGGATTTGTTGGTTTGTCGGACTCTATTGGCTGTCAAGTTTACAAAAGGAAAAAGCTTAAAAGTCTGGAATAATACTACAAAGTACACTCATAACAATTCGGAGTCATTTCACATTTTAAATCATATTTTTGATTTAAATTTAAATCTTATCCACATCTTTAACTATTTCGAAAAAGTATAAATGCCATTTTGTTGTATTTACTAATGATTATCGAAATGTAAAAGAAATTTTTAAAATCGGACCATTTATTAAAAAGTTATGAGCAAATAATGGAATTAAAGCAGTGCAAACAGTGCTTTGTTGAATGTTTGCCTCCATCTTCCTAGCACTTTCTTTATGGGATTAATGGGTATCTGATAGTCGAGGTACCCTCTATTTTCTTATAATTTTAAGAATCTCTTAAAGTGTAAATTCAGCTAGTTAAAGAATTAAATTTTAATTGGATACCCAAAAATGGTCCCCAATTTGCATGGGGTGTTTAACCACCTTCACCCCAATCTAAGCTCTGTACATTTCCATTTGGTTTATGTCCGTTTCTCTGGCTATTTAAATTGGCCTAATGCGCTCGGCTCTTTATCGTTTTGTATTTTTGATTATCCTGATTTATGGGCCCGACTTCCACTTTGCCGGATTTACATGGCGGCAGAACAACAAGCGATGCTGGGAAAATTTATGGCCGTCGGCGGTTGACGGAAAACTTACCCGTTTCATGGCTGCTGACGTTAAGTATTCGACTAGTTGGGCTGCTGGTTATTCGTTTGGCTGCTGCTGTTTGCTGCTGATGGCGAACTGATGCCACCACCATCGCCCACTAGCCATTTTATAAGGCCGGGCGAAAAAAAGGGCCATCGCCAGAACCTGACCGCACCTGATATGCCGGTGCCCAGCTTTCAAATTTGTTTAGTTAAGGTTACAAATGACCTTCCCGAGGCGTACAGATACAGCTGCAGATAAATTGGAGCTGCAGTGCAGAGCATTCACTTTTCAGCCGCCACCACACACGCTCACAAAATTGTCACCCACTAGCCCAAAACGATGAGTGGCAAACGGAGGAAAAATGGAAGGAAAAACGGGGGAAAATCGGGTGGCGCTTATGAAAATGGTCAGCAAACATTGCCTACGGAAATTGGAAATAGGCCTGCACCGAAGCCAGTCTTTGTTGCGCTTTGGTCTCATGAATTTGAAATTTTGTAATCCCTCATCCGCCCGAGATCCGATTGCAAAATACTGGAAACAAGGAAAGGGAGGCAAAAATAAGGGGGAAATTTGATAGCTGCCCACAAGTAAAAGAGGCGCCGGGCTGGAACGGTCACTTTAATGGACTTCCACTGTAACCAGGCACACTTTATCGATTATCTCGATTCATTATCCGACAGGTTTTTCATCATGCGTAGTAACCAGAGCCCTGGCTCATTTGTTGTCTTTTGCGGAGCCACTAGGAAGTGCAGTCCCCGTTGACGGATGTGGTTTTTGGGGGGCTTCCCTGCTCTTACGCAATACAGGTGATTTATGATTAGACCAGAGGAATTCCAAAGCTCAATATGGGATTTTTTTAATGTCACAATTTGATTTTGAAATCAAGTTTAGCAGCAGTGTTCAATTAAAGTGTGACATTTAGAACATTACTCCACGAAAAAGGGTCAGGAAATATTTTCTGGTTTTTGAAAATTAAATTTGAGTTTTTTTTTTTAATTCCCAAATGACTTGTATAAGCTTGAATATCTCCAAAGTTTAGCTTTTTTCTATATCTATCTATCTAATTGAATTAAATCCGTTGTATCCGACTAAAATAAGAAATACATCTTTATTAAATGCAAAAGTCTAGTTTATTGAAATTCGGTAACATAAGTTTAAAATAAAATTATATTTCCTTTATAATCTGTTAGGATCCATCTCAAAAGTAAGAACTTTTAATAGTTTTTTTTCGTATTCAATAATTTGTTATTAAAAATACTTAAATTAATAGATAACTGGATTGTTTTTCATAAACCATAAATGCAGAAATATTTTACAAGAGGTGGAAACCGTTTGAGGCACATAATACCCAAAAGATTAATGCGCTCACCCTTAAAGCAGTCTTTCATGGGATTCTCATATATGAGTTAGACACATTAATGGGGCCAAGTTAAGTCGATTCGGGATGCGACAGTGGAACAAGCAGGCATACTAGCTCTATCAGCTGTAAAAACAAAAGTAGCGCCAGCAACATCAGCCAGAACATCTGTGTCAGTGCGTATGAAAACAAAAAGAAATCTCCAACGTGAGCCAAACAAAGGGAACACCAACAATAACAGGAGGCGAACCAAAGGAAACCGAAAGCAAAAAAGGCAACTGGCTGGAAAAAATTGTCATGCATGACTAAAATACAAGAGCAAGAGCAGAAGTGGCGGTGCACAGAGAAAATACAGATTGCAAAATCGGGTTTCCTAGAAACATAATTCAAAGAAGAATTCTACTCTATGAAAGGTTTTAGTTCTCTGCTAAAATAAATTTTATTTTATTAATTAAACATGTTTACACCCAAAAAAACTGATATGAAACCATGATTGATTTGATGTTATGTGGTATCAATTGTTATGTGGTCACCTCAATTCGATATGCTCGAAAGTCAGTCAGAAAATTGACCATGCGCATATCGAATTGACCGCAACGTGTTTTTTGTTGTGTGTATATATTGTGTGCATACATTTGCAGCATAAAAATAACAGTGGATTTCTTTTCAGCTCAAAATATTCTGCAGTGCAGAAACTGCGAAAAAAGCTAAAGGCCTGATCCGCTCTGTTATTCATGCCGTGGAGCATAGTTTTAGGCGCCGCCAGTTCGGTTGTCCAACATGTTGGACACTTTTTCCAACAGCCCCCTTTGCAACCCCATATATCCAACCTCCATCCCCCTCCCCGCATCCCTTCGCCAGCTTTGTTTGTCTTTGATGCGCGTTTTCCGCTTGTTTTTCTTGCTGGACGGGGAAATTGAATGCCCAACAGCCGACAGTCGGCCACGTTGTAATTGAGTTGGCCGTGTGGAATGGGAAAATAGTTTTGCCAATTCCGACACGAATCGCAATGCAGCTGAACAGCGAACACGGAAAATCCCTATCCCTATCCCTCCGCCAAGTCGGGGCCAATTGGCCGGCGGGTAATTAATCATTTTTCACTTTTTCACTCGATACTGAAAGTGCGCTCAACAATTTCTCACAATTTGCAACTGCCAAAAGGCAATTAGAGTCGACACATTTACTGTATTAGCGTTCATTAAATAATCAATTGCAATTGCCACTGCAATTCCAATTAAGTTTCTTGTGTTTACCAGTCGAGCTTTTATCTATTTGAATTAAATTGAACAGCCAATATGGTTGTGAATGCCATTAAATGGGTTGTAAATCGTTATTCGAGTACCCAACAAAATTAAATGTCATATTTATTCATAGTAATTTATTTTATTGTTTATTAAAAACCGATTCAAATCTGATTATTATTTGGAATAAATTTGTACCGGTAAAGTTAAAGTTATTCCATTTCCAAAAAAAATTAAATGTAAAATTTATTCATAGTGATTTATCTTTGATAAATTTAAAAATAATTTTATTTTTAGTTATTAAAAACAGATTCATATCTGATTATTATTAAGGTTACATTTTTGAAACTATTGTTTAACTGTTTATGAACCAGTTGTGCTGGATATTAAGACAAATATTTTACCGTCTTACTTTCCAAACGATTTGTGCAAAAGTTGCTCCTAGCAATTTGGCAAATCTTAAAACTTGTGCAAATGCATTTCTCTCCATTATAAATGCAACGCATATTGCATATATTATCGCAGAGCAGAAAAACATTCTGTTGACTTTTTTGGGAAAATGCAAAAACAAAACAACCGAAGCAGAATGCAACGCAAATTGCGATTGCTTTAGCTCGGCATCTACATTCCGAATACCGCAGGGCTTGGCAATCAAATTGTGTTTTTCGGTCAGAGGAGGCAATTCAATTTGCGGCAGGGGGACGGTGGCCAGATCGCAAATCTGGTTTTATTTACAGGAGGGCCATGGCTTTTAGGCCCGATGCCCGATGTCACCAATGCCGAAGCTATGATTGAGTGGAAGCCTCTTCGGGGGTATTTTAGACAGTCAGACAGACAGCAACCCGGTTTGGTTGAGTGTTTCAATTTATTTTTCATATTTTTGTTTAACCGCTTTTTGTTTTACTTTCCTATTTCAGCCGGGCGAAATTCCCCCGGTTCGCGTTCGCAAAATGCCAAAAGTTAAAATAAACAGTTGAGCGCTAGGAGGACGAGGAGTCGGGACAACTCGCAGGAAGGCAGGAAACACTTGAAAAAGTATGCCAACAATATTTCTACCATCTCTCGGTGTCTCGGTGTCTGTGTGCTTTTGTGCTATTGAAAAGGAAATGAATGGCAGGCAGAAAAAGTTAAATCACCTCCAGCAATTGGGCCTGCTGTGGCTCCCAACTCTAGATGGGTATATTGGGTGGTTGGGTTGTGGACTGTATTTTGAGTGCTGCTCCCTGGGGTGGCGTATGCGCAATATTCGCGCCGAGGCCTCTAAGCTGCGGCCTGAGCCCCGACATTTGTCGCATTCTCTACTGTTTTCCGTGTGATTTTATTTCATTTTATTTTATTTTTCGCATTCTTTTTCGATTTTGTTTTGTTCTTTCGATTTCTATTTGCCGTGGGAAATTGCTTTCAATAATGACGCAAAGTGTTGCTGGGGGGACATTTTAATGGTTGCCTGGTTGGTTGGTCGCTATGCGTTCGACAGATAGGACAGCGCCATCTGGAGGCGACAAATTGTACTGACACAACCCCTTATCGCAATCCTCACACCACACTGTGAAAATGGGTTTGGAAGCCAGCAGAAGAGCTGAAAGTCAGTGGTTGCTGTATACAGCTATCTATAGATAATATTTCTAAAATATTTTTCTAAAACAGAACACTTCTATTATGTTAAGTATCATATACCATAAATTAAAAAATTATAAAAAATAACTATTTGTTCAATATATATAAATTTATTGCAGGTTGTAATAAAAAAAGATTGTTACTTTGCTTATTCAAATCAACCAAAAATATATTTTTTTTGCTAAAATAAATGCCTAAGACATTTTTTTTTAAGTTTAAGTAAATGGTAACAATTTTTAAATTACTTTACACCTCAAATTATATAAATTATGATAAAATAAATGATTTATTAAAATGTAAGCTCAGTGCAAACGCCATCACTTGAGGCAATTTGTACGCACTCATCGTGGCGTTGGCATCAATAAATTGCCACGGGCGCCGTGCGAGTCCTTGCGTGTCCTTGGCCACACCCCACATCTTTCCACACCCTGCAACGAGTCCTTGGTCAAGTGTGCGCCTACCTTTGTCCGGCGCCTCTTTCCTGGCCACTTATGCAGTTCGTTGTCCGTTGCACTTTTCCGGCACGCAACGCCAAGGGCTTATCCTCATTTGCAATTCAGACAAAAGGCTCGCAGTCCGTTGAAATAAATTTTAATATATTTTTCATTTCCACGCAGAACATATATGTATGTTGCAAGAGGGTTTTCCGTTTCGAGATGCTATCGATGTCTCATCTTCAGAACATCCATGTCGATTCATTTAATGAAGAGTTATGCAAGTGTTTTTTCGTACTTTTAAAATTATTGAAAGGAACGAAAGCATTTAAACATTAAGTTGTTTGAGTTAAAGTTATAATAATTTATATTTATATCTAAAATGAAAAAATTAAGTATAACATATTGAATTTATAATTTTTAGATTCTGTTTTAGAAATATTTATTTAACTATTGTAAAACCTAGGGTATGCCCAGCAGTTTCATAATCCTTACCAAGTAACAGCGAAATGTAATGCAGTGGAAACAGTTCAGAATTCAATTATTCCCGCTTGGTAAGAGTTTTAATTAAAAATCAGTCATAAAATGTGCGTGTGAGCTCGGGATGCTTAAAAATTGAGCATCGATTCGCAGAGGCTTTTAAGTTTGATTAAATTTCGGCAGATAAAAAAGGCTAAAAGAGCGGAAAATGTGTTTGGATCACGTACGCACTTTGGGGTGCCCCAAGAAGGTCCTAAATATTGGAGATGGTCTCTTGTCATAAGTCAATAAAAAGACAAAATGAAAATGGACGATGAATGGGAAAACTCTGCCATTCACAGCACCGAAAAGTTGTGAATTTAAAAGCATAATAAAACAAACTCAAGGACGAATATCAGACTATAATAAATACAATTTATATGCATTTTATTTACCTATGAATATTTCCTCTGTTGATTGGCATACATTTTTTATTTTAATTACAACAACACAAAGCGACCAGATTTCATTGAGATTTATGCAAGGTTTACAATAACAAAATACACAAACAGAAATCAGAATGAAAATTGTGTATACGTAAACAATTTATTTCATTTCATTATACCCTTGTAGAGGGTATTATAATTTCAGTCAGATGTTTGCAACGCAGTGAAGGAGACGTTTCCGACCGCATAAAGTATATATATTCTTGATCAGCACCAATAGCCGAGTCTATCTAGCCATGTCCGTCTGTCCGTCTGTCCGTCTGTCTGTCTGTCCGTCTGTCCGTTTCTATGCGAACTAGTCCCTCAGTTTTAAAGCTATCGCGATGAAACTTTCCCAAAAGTCTTCTTTCTATTGCAGGTAGTACATATGTCGGAGCGAGCCGGATCGGACCACTATATCTTAAGGCTTCCATAGGAATATTCAAAGAAATAATAACTTTGTAAGCAGTAGGCGTTTTGATTCTTGACTACTTATGTATAAACAAAATTAAAATATAAACGTTGAATCTGGAATCCCTGGAACTGCACCGAGTAAGCATTACTTTATCTACAAGGGTATATAAGCTTCGGCTGGCCGAAGGTAGCTTCCTTTCTTGTTTTAATGTGCCATTGTTGTTCGTTCGGTCGAACAATAGCAAAATATCCGTGTGGCAAACTGTTTATTTGCGTATCGCGACGGGGCCAATTAATGAAATTTCATTTTCGCGCCTTGATTGCTCCACTTTTGGCCAATTTCAGGGGGCAAAATCAATAACAATACGGTGGCCGGGGTGGCCATTTAATTAACCATCCGCTCTATATACCCTTCACCCGCACCACAACGGCAAACAGGGAGTACGCCATCTTCAGGGTGGCGAAAAAGGCATTCAGATTCAGCTCGATGAGTCCGCCCGCCTTTATGACCCGCCCCCTGGAACCCATCGCCATCTGGGTGAAGACGAGCAGATCGAATCGATGCTCCCGCGATTGATCGTACCACCTGCTGGAGAAGATCGCATACGGCAGACGCTCCACCTCCTCGGCCACTTCGCTGGCAAAGTAGCAGCTGGGAAAGAGCTGCACGCAGACCACTCCGAAGAATACCAAGTAGTAGACCAGTGAGATGGTGTCGCCCACGAAGAAGAGCACGTAGGACACAATGATGCACAGGGTGGCACCGCAGCCGCCCAGCTGCACCAGTTGCACCTGGCTGATGGTCTGAGCCACCAGGTAGTGGAATCTGCAAGATCGAAAAGAATGAGATTAAGAATTAACGCAAACAATCGACATTTAATTTTTCACAGTTCCTAAAGATTTTCTGTTTTTTAATTCTTAGATCAAAATCTATAAAATCAGATTAAAGCGGGAATTAAACATTAAACGCCGGGATAAAATCGATATGCGAATGGTAAGAATCTGGTATATTGTCGTTTTTACCATGCAATACGGATTTGTCTCTCTCTGAAATTCTCTGACTTCGAAAAAGAGAGCAATACGCAACATTAATTACTTAAATTAAATAAGTGGGAATGAGATTAACTACTATTATATTAACTACATTATAATTGTTTACATTTCGAGCATATCAAGTCAAAATTTATACCACATAACATTTAATCGATCATCGTTTTATATCAAGATTATATGGGTGTATTTAAAAATAATAAAATTATGATTTATCGATTTCCTGGTGCATGTCGGATGTGAGGTCCCCTATTTTTGTCTCATTGGTCTTTTTTCCTGGCTGATTAAATATTTCTCATAAATTAATCGGGGTTTACCTCACCAAGAGCTTATGCTGCTCAATGTATTCCAGCAACCGCTGATGATTACTCGCAGTTTCGTCCTCGAGAAATCCGAGCTGAGCCATGCGAATGGACCACAGGTGGAGGTGTCCCCCCAGAAGGCACAGAGTCAACGGGGTGTAGGTGTCGTTTCCAAGACCCTGCAAGCCTTCGACCAGGATGCTAAATATCTGATAGCCCAGGGCCACAGCAGCCAGACATCGATTCCTTTCCAAGTCGAAGGGGAAATAGGCGGGGTATATAAGTTCCAAGTTTCCGTTGATGATCTGAACGAAAGCACCGAATAGGAAAACCGCGTAAACCATTCCGAAACTGATGTAGAGACAACGCGTAAAGCGTTTGGCATGACATTTCACGTGATCTTGGTAATAGCGATGCTCCAGCTCGCTTGAAATGAACGTATCCAATTGCCCGATCAGAGATTCAATTTCCACAATCTCGGGCAGGTGATACAAGTGGGCCACGTGCTTGAGACTGCAGGCAACACAGGTTAGGGACATGGTCAGGTTCTTCAGGAGTTCAGCCGGAGAAGGATGCAGCAGAAGATGCAGCAGCAGGTGCAGTGGAAACCACAAGGTGACCAGGACGTGCAGCACCGCCACATAAAGTTGGATTGGACGTGAGGATTCCTTGAAGAATGTCGGCACTAGCACTCGCATGCAGAGCCAGAACGGTCGATAAAAACGAACACTATCGATGATGACCATGGCTCACCTAATGGATAATCGCCGTTGAGGTTGCAGCTTTTATGCAGCTGCCTAGGTAGATACACTGCAAGAATTCGCAAGACTTAAAATTAAAAAAAAAACTGTGGATTTTAAACAAAAAGTATTCCGTACATCTAAGTCGAAATCTAATGTGCAATATATAAATGGTTAAAGACTGCGTTTTATTTTTACTGCATACTTTTAGGAGCCACTATAAAATATTTTAAAACTAGCGGTTTCTCTGCCCGAATTAGACATCCTTTTAAATTTATTTTCATTTAGGTGCAAATTTTTCAGGTGCATAATCCACCGCTAAATGGAATTTAAACGCAGCCGATGCAATTTTCATAAAGCCCGCGTTAATGGCCGCCATTAGTGGTAATTAAAATTAAGCGAGTATGTAAATGAGGTGGCCAACAGCCCCACGGGCCCACTCATTATCGCAGCGACATGGCCAGGGTGAAGAAGGAGTAGGCCAAGCGGACGGTGGCGAAGAAGGCGTTCATTCCGATGCCAATCATTCCGCCCGCCTTGATCTGCACCTCCGCCAGGGTTAGTTGCATGAATATCAGCAGGGTGCGGCAGTATCCCCGATCCATTCCCATCCAGTTGCTCGAATATATCGCATAGGTCAGCCTGCTCATCTCGACGGATATCAGAGTACCGTAATAGCAGCACGGAAATAGCTCCAGGACCATGGATAGGAAGTATACCCCATAGTAAGTTACAGCAAAATTATTTTCCGCAAAGAATAAAATATTGACAAGCGTTATGGAAATGTTGACGCCACTTGATATGAACTGACCAAGTTGCGATATATTCATGGTGCTGCGTAGCAGTTCTACGATTCTGAAAAAGAGAAAAAGTTCGGTTAGAAATAAAATAAATTATAAGATTTGTATTAACAAGAATATTTTTTTAAATTTGAATTTTGTATACCCGTTACTCATAGATCAATAGAGTAAATGCCATTTTGTTGTATTTATTAATACCTTTCAAAATGTAGAAGAAAATTTTAAAATCGGACAATCCATTAAAAAGTTATGAGCAAAAATAGAAATAGCTTCTATCTTCCTCGCATTTCTTGTACCTGAGTAAAGGGTATCTGATAGTCGAAGTACTCGACTTGTTTTTACATTACTTCATGATCTTTCGGTGGTCCTCAATGCTTTCCAATAATTTTTTCCCGATCTCAGACTTTGTTTCCTTTCGATCTTGGCCTATTCTACTCAAACGCATTGCCATAAGTCTTACATGTCCCGCAACCACACAAAATGTCATCGGTGGATAGGAATCATTAGCTAGATTCTGAACTATGGCCAAACTTACGCCAACTATTTGGTAGGATACACTTAGCCAAAAGCGTAGCTCTGAGGCCTGGACATCGTAGGGAAACCAGGCCGGATATAGCAACTTATGTCCACCGCCGAAGAGAACCGATGCTATGGCCGAAACATTCGACAATCCATAGGCCACAATGAAACTTTTCCAAATTAGATTCGCCTCACGTCTTGTATTTTGATTAAAAAACTGAAATTCCTCGTGACTCACAGCTCGCTGATCCAATTCCTTAAACAAAACTTCAATTGTTTTAATCTCTTCCAACTTCAGGCGGAAACAGACAAATTTAAAGCTTGCGAAAAAGCAGGCAGCTGTGATTGGTAGGCCTTTGCAGACATCACCGAGGGTTCTTTCCATAAAGAGTCCGAGAATCAAATGAATTGGGTACCAGAAGGTGACGAAAACTGTGATCAGAATATCCAGCAAACGATTCAGCAAATAGGGGCTTTCCAAACCCAAAAGACGCCAATATAACCAATAGGCCCGGTAGATGTGTTCACTTCTGATAACTGGCGACTTTAGATCCATGTTCGAAACAATTGTGCAGGTCCTGCGGCATTTTCCCTTTTATACTTGGACCTCAACAAAATTATAGTCCACCAATGTTACGCCCACCAATTTAGTGTCATTGTGATAACCCTATAATTTTTGGTTAACATTCACACCTTTTCTTAGATAACCACCGTCTGAGCAGCTATTTTATGTATTGAAAAACCTCTACCTAGACAGAAGTAAATTCATTGGGGCTATTAGTTTCCCAGGTTTTCAATTTGAGGGCGACAGCGTAAGTAAATATTTATGGGTTGAGTAATAACAGTTTTGGTATAATATTTAAATTTAGACAACTATTTTGTTAAGCATAAATTGTTTTGTTAAGAGATAGTAAGAATTATTTATGTGTTAGGTAATTTAATAACTTTTGTTTTATTCAATTTCAGTTAAAAACTATTGAGAATTTAATAAAAATATTCCTGTCTCCTAGAATCGAAACGATTTGGCTAGGGTGAAAAAGGAATAGGCCATTCGACATGTGGCAAAGAAGGCACTCATGTCGATGCCAACAATCCCTCCAGCTTTAATATCCACCGGAACCATCGTAAGCTGCATCAGGATTATTAAGGATCGTTTGTATCCTCTATCCATTTTAATCCAATTGCTCGAGAAAATTGCGTATGGTAATTTATCAAATTCCATCGTCATCAGAGTTCCGTAGTAACAACTTGGAAATAGTTCTATAAACATGGCCGCGAAGAAGACAGCATAGTAAGTCATCGAAAAGTTATTTTCCGCAAAAAACAGGATGTTGATCAACGTTATTGCAATGTTGATTCCACTCGAAAGGAACTGGCTAAGTTGCGTAAGATATAAAATTCTGCGAAGCAAGCAAATTATTCTGAAAAGTCAGATTAAAATTAAAGATTAATATCAGTTTGGTTATGTATTGTATGTTTAAATAATTTATAAAACATTAAAAAAAAAAAAAAAAAAAAAAAAAAAAAAAAAAACACCTAATTAACTAAAAAAATTTTTACAGTGTTCTATCTTACCGCATTAGTTTCCTGTGATCCTTTATTCCTTCGATGAGCTTCCTGTTATTTTCAGCCATTGATACCTGCTCATCATGCCCAATTCTACTTAAACGCATGGCCAAAAGTCTCACATGACCAGTGACCACACAAAAGGTAATTGGAGGATATGAATCGTTGGCAAGATTTTCCATAATCAACATACTGGACCCAATAGCTTGATAAGCAAAGCTAATCCAAAAAACCAATGCGGTGGCTTGGACATTATAAGGAAACCAACCCAAATACATTAAATTTCGACCACTACTAAATAAACCAGCAGCAGTCCCAGTGATTATGGAAGATGTGGCAGCCACCAAATAGCCTTTCGATAGCATTTGGGCTTCACGTCTCGGCCCTTGGTCAAAGTATCTGCGTTCTTCTTGGCTCTCAGCTCGCTTATCCAAATCCTGGAGAATTCTTTCGATATCCTTTATTTCTAAAAGTCTCCATCGAAAGCAGATAAATTTCAAGCTGCAGAAGAGACATTCTGCTAGGAAATGTAGACTCCTGAAGACTTGTACCATCGGCTTATTATACACTCCGAGGATTAAATGAACGGGATACCAAAACGTGAAGAAAAAGGTGATTACAAAGTCCAGTATCCATCGGAATGGATGCTCGCCCTCGACACCCAAAAGTAGCCAATAGAGCCAATATGTTTTGTAGAGACTTTCACTTTTCACTTCCTTACAGGATGGCTCCATATTTTGAACACTTGGTCAGGCAATGCGACACCTTTTGCTTTTATAGTGTTTTTCCTTTTATAATTACAGCTACCTCGGGTAGGCGTAATTGTTGTCCATGTAATTATATATTTAATTGCTCCCAACAATTATCACCTTTTACACAAGTGTGAGCAATGCATGACGTGATATTATCAAGCCTTTACACTTAAAATAAGATATTTATTGCTATATTGCGGTCTAAACATTTGCCGCTTTTTTATACCTGTTACGCTTAGATTGAAAGGGTATTACTCGGAAAGTATGTAATAGTTCGAAGGAAACGATTCCAATCCTATAAAGCATTTATTTTTATTATCAGGATCACTAGCCAAGTCAATCTAGCCATGTCCTAGTTTTTCGGTGTAAATAGAATTTTATTTGTTTTTTTATTATTATTATTATTATTTTAATACATTAATACATTTTTCATTAATGTTCAATTCTTTATTTAAATGACATTGCCAGTGCGAAATAGGAATAGGCCATCCGAACGGTTGCAAAAAAGCGTTCATGCTTATGCCAATAATTCCGCCAGCTTTTACTTCCACCTCTATTTGCATCATCTCCGTGAGTACCACCATGTCGCGGATGAACTTGCGATCCATTCCAATCCAGTTGCTCGAGAAAATGGCATTGGGCAGGGCATTGAACTCCATGGTCACCAAGGTTCCGTAGTAACAGCTTGGAAAAAGCTCCAAAACCATTGATATAAAGTACACAGCATAGCAGATGCTCACAAAAGTGCTTTCGGCAAAGAACAGAATATAGATTAGCACACTGGCGATATTTATTCCGCTGTTCACGAATTGCCCGAGCTGAGAAATGTACATTGTGGATCGCAGCAGGCGAACCAATCTAAAAACATTTTTTAAAATTAAGATTAAAATTAGGAGCAATTAATTCTTTTAAAGCCTTACTAACTCCATTCATTTCTTGTAATCCTCGATGTTTTCCGTTAGTTGCCTGGAAATATCCAAGCTTGATTTATCCCGATCATATCCCATTCGGCTTAAACGCATCCCCAAAAGTCTCACATGTCCGGCGAGTACGCAAAATGCCATGGGAGTATAGGAGTCGTTGGCCAGATTTTCCAGAGTTGAGAGACCTCCTGAGATCGATTGGTAGAGAACACTGAGCCAGTGGTTAAAGGCAGAGCCATTAACATCGTAGGGAAACCAAGCCGGAATAAGTACATTCGTAATAAGAACAGTTAAGTTTGCCGCTAAATTGGCAGATCCGTAGGCTACGAGAACACTCTTCCAAATAATTTCCGAATCCTTTCGGGTGTTGCGATCAAAGTACAAGCGTTCTTCCTCACTCACAGCTCGATGATCCAACTCGGTAAACAAACTCTCGATTTTCTTTATTTCCCAGAGCTTCCAGCGAAAGCAAATGAACTTGAAGCTGCTGCAAAAAGATGATGCCGTAATTGGAAGATTTCTAAAGATGTTTGCCAAGGATCTTTCCGAAAAGAGGCCTATAACTAGATGCGTTGGACACCAGAAGGTGACGAAGAAGCTAATAAGAATGTCCAGCACAATTCGAAGTGGATAATCGCCTTCAACGCAGAGAATTCGCCAGTAGAGCCAGTAGGTTCTGAAGAGATAATCACTCCTTACAATCGGCGAAGTCGGTTCCATTATTCAAAAAGTTATGAAGGGTAACATAAGGCGTTCTTGTCTTTATAGCCAGTTTTGATTTGATTTATATGTAACGTTAATTGCTTTGCTTGACGTGGGGGTAACAATTACCCATAATTACTATTAATTGCTGGCAAGCAATTAACACCTGTCTATTGGTAACTAAATACAGGAAATAGCTGTAAGGGTTATATCCTTCTAAATAAACTTAAATCGAGGCGCTTGACCTTTGAGTATAAGCTGTTATCGATTTTATATACAAAATACTCTTGTTTTTGGTGAAGCAAAGCGTACTAAATGGGCCATAAAAATGCAGTTAAAAAGTCAGGAAAAAGTTGCGTTATAATCTCTGTTGCAACTACGCGGACTAAGTTGCCATAATTTGACATTAAAATCTCCTAGCTGCATCTGCTTGGAAGTAAAAAAAAGGAACAAGGATAAAGGATATTCCTTTATTCGTGCTGGAAAAGTTGCATCTCTTAACTTTTCTATGTTTTATTATCGCCATCGATGGCTTCTGACGTCAAATTTCCATAAAAAAACAGCTACTAAAAACGTGGGCTTAGTTTACATTGTCTTGTCGTAACGCTAAACAAGAAAGGAAGCTAGCTTCGGCCAGCCGAAGCTTATATACCCTTGCAGATCATTCCTATTAATAAACAAATCGCAAAAATGTTCAATTTTCTAATATTTCTCATTAATTTTCCGATCGTTCCTATGGCAGCTATATGATATAGTCGTCCGATTTTAATTAAATTAAAATTGAAATTCGGAAATATTTAAAAAGAGTCATATCCTAGAGTAGAAGATAATACAATAAAAACCAAAGAAGCTAGAATTTATTTCCTATTACTTTTCCATTAATTTTCCGATCGTTCCTATGGCAGCTATATGATATAGTAGTCCGATTTTTTAAATAATTAATTCGAAATTCAGATATATTTAAAAAATAACATCCCCAAAAGTAGAAGGTAATATTTCAAAAAACACCGAAGCTAGAATTTTTTTAAGTTTTTTTTTTCCGATTGTTCCTATGGGAGCTATAAGATATAGTTGTCCGATCCGGTCGGCTCCGACATATATACTACCTGCAATAGAAAGAAGACTTTTGGGAAAGTTTCATCCCGATAGCTCAAAAACTGAGAGACTAGTTTGCGTAGAAACAGACAGACGGACAGACGGACAGACGGACAGACGGACAGACGGACGGACAGACGGACATGGCTAGATCGACTCGTCTTGTGATGCTGATCAAGAATATATATACTTTATGGGGTCGGAAACGTCTCCTTCACTGCGTTGCAAACTTCTGACTGAAATCATAATACCCTCTGCAAGGGTATAAAAACGGAACAGCGACATAGTTTTTCTGACTATCTATTTACCACTCTCTAAGAATTTTTTAGATTTTTTTTTTGTTTTCTTTGCAATGCTATTTTTGCCGATGAAGTCAGTCAAGGCTAAAAGCAAAAAATAAGCTTTCTTTCGTTCAAGCTAACATTGCGCATTCGTAATGCCAAAATGAACAACCAAGGAAATTTAGTGTGACAGAAAAAAATGTAGAAAAAAGTGGGTTGGTTTAAGATACTAGTTAAAGAAGTGGTTTTAGTGGAAATATTCTCACACTCTTTTACATATTTAAATTTAAATTACTTGAAATTTTAAATATATTTATTCCGAAAAAAATTGGAATATTTTATTAACCCTACACCCAGAAAAAAAAATGACCTAAAATGTCAAAAAATGGCCTAGAATTTAGGTAAAATTGGCCTAAAACTGGAGCTAAGTCCTTGAATGGCCTAAAATTTAGGATTGTATGACCTAAAATGTTAGGCCATTAATGGCCTAAAATGGGGTAATTTTTGGCCTAGATTTTAGGTAATTGGCTGCCTTAAAATATGAGAAAACCCCTATCCAAAATTTTAGGCTTTCTTTGGCCTAAAAATTTGTACTGAAAAATGTTTCATATTATAAAGTAAATACAGAGAAATTTATAGCTAACTCGAGGTCAATGTCGGCTTAGTCTTCAAGAAGTCGTCATTATTCCAACACACAAAAACGAGCGAAGAGGCTTCACTGTTCAGCAGTGAAATCGCTGTTTTATTCAACGATGGAAGTGGGTTACCATGCAAGCCGCGCTATAACTGGTTGGGAATTATAGCGTCGCTAGAACGGTATCAGAGTTCCGTGCAAATTTATTTAGGTAAAATGCATTAATTTTAAGGCCCACGATGACCTAAAATATTAGGCTATACGGGACCTAAATAGTAGGGCAAATATACCAAAAATTTAAATTTTCAGGCAGTATATGACCTAAAAAGGAACTTTTAGTCCATTTAAAATGTTTTAGGCTATGCATGACCTAAAATGTTGTCCATCATTTTTCTGGGTGTAGTAAATGTGTTACATAGTATGTAATACATACCTTTAAAAATATACAATATGCTCGCTTTGACTGTGGGGTATAATTAAGAGGCAGCTGCAACTTTTTTTGTTGCAAACTTTTTGTGTTTTTTGTTTGTGGTCTGCCCCACTCTACCGGAAGAAAAAGTTGCAAAAGTTATTTGATTTGGAATTTTTTTGAAAAGTTTCTCTTTTCTATATGATTTTTTGGCTTCGACTGCCCTTTGAGTGTGTGTGTGTGTTTATGTGCCACCAAATTAATGAAAATCACAACTGTGTGCAAAATGTAATTTAATCTTATTTTTTCCCCCAGTTGGGCTCGAGGGCAACTGGCGCGTGGCCTGCGATAAACTTCCCGAAAAGTGTGAGTGGCAGTGAGTTGGTAGAAGTATTCTGGTTTTATCAGGCGAAACTGACAGTTTTCAAATTTATCAAGCAGCCGAAAGCTTCGAGAAAGGGCGCAGACCCATCTGTGCAGGGTGTTCAATTTGTGATAGGCAAGGTCACACGGTCTTGAACTTGTCGTACTGTTTGTTCGGTTATTTATTAGACTTTACTCGGCTGCTTAGCATCAAACGTTTTGCTTTTATTACCCTTTGGAAACTAATTTTGCAACTAGAAGGTAAACACCAACGAAATTGTGTAAACATTTGGAATGTTCATTCAGAAATTGGCTCTGATTTTCAATTTAAATGCTTAAAGCCCATAAAACACATCGCGTTTATCGCTGGATAAGCACGCAGTAATGTGGTTACCCCGCTCGGTTGCATATCCGCAAAGAAATCAAGGCTATTAAATGTGAATCCTTCCCCCCAAAATGTGCAAAATATCAAAGCAATAAAATGCAGAATATAACCAGAATTTTGCCATGTCTTTGCTCTGCACGACCACAAAAAGAAATGCCAAAAGTCTGGAAGCAAAAGTCTGCAGTGTCAGCAAACTAAAAGATACCAAAGATTTTTCATTTTCCATAAAATTGCTATGCGCACATAACGTTAATATTTTAAGCAGAAAATTCAATTCTTGAACTGCCTATTATTTAAATATCTAATTCTGGGTATTTATCTTAAATAGATATATTTGCTGGTGTCGTAAACCGCATACACTATATAATAGAAATAAAATTCCCACAGTCTGGGATATGATATCTCCCTTGGCATCGACCACATTCAGTCTTTGTGTTTACACTGGACTCGAAGGCATTGTGTCAAGTATTTATTGCTTTATCGCTGTTCGTTATGTTTCGTTCAACTAATTTCAAACGATTTTTCACAGCGGAAATATTTACCAGAACTGCGCCAAAAAATGGTGTGTGTTTCTTTCGCTATATGGATTTATACTTTTTTTTTGCGCTTTATTTTGTTGACCACCAAGAGGTCATGGGGGTAAAGTGGGCTGGGGTCGGGGTTCGGGGGCTCCAGAAATCGAGTGTCGGCGTGTCGGCAGCAACCGCCAGCTGCGTTCAACGTTTGTTTACTTAGTCTATTCGGGGTCTGTGGATGGACTCGGGTCTGTTTTGTGTGCTTTCATCAGGGGCGCGACCCAGAGGGGCCCTTAGTTATTTGCTTGGCCAACAATCAAGTCATGCGTGAGTGTGTACATTTTTATAAAACGAGGGAGATAAGGGACATTTTCAAGGATAGACTGTCATAAAGATAATATTTAACTTTAAGTTAAATGTTGTTTAATTTTTAGGTATTATTTTTAGTTTTAGATAAAAGTTACATAGGAAAATTATATGTTATAGCTCACAAATTGGTGAAAAAAAATATTTTACGTAAATGCTCTGTCGAAGCAATTGTAGACTAGGAAACTATAATAAGAAAATTATAAGAAAAATGAATTTATTAAAAGATTTAAGTCACATTGATTAGCAAATTTTAAATGTTTCTTAAAAAAAATATTTGATATTTGGGATATAAGATTCAAAAATAGGCGATTAATACCTAAGAACTGGGAGGGAATAAATGTTCCTTAAATAGAAACTTTTGTTCATAAGTGTTCAAAATATTCCGATTAAAGTTCAGTTAGAATAATTGTAATTTAAATATTGGATCCCCTTTCAGAGAACCCCTGTTCTTTGAATGCTTAGTTCCTTAGAACGATGGTCTGTGTGTCTGTACTTGCGGCCACTGCTAATCGTCTAATTTTATCATGTGGTTTTCCCCATTTAAGTGCCGCCAAGTGTTGAACGATTTGTGTAGTTTTTCCTAACCAGAGCCCCGCTTCCCCCGCTCCCAGTGGCAGTGGTTTCCTTCTTTTTTTCTTAATGGCTATTCGCGGAATTTTTGGTATGGCTCTGCTCGGTTGGCATTCTTTGCTTATCATTAAACTAAGTGCTTGCACATTTGACCTTGACACGCCCGCTCATTAGCAGGTGAATGTGAATGACACGCCCAGTTGCACCTGAAAGCCTTTTGTCGTCTGCCAAAGAGATGCAAATTAATTGGACCCGTTCGTTGGGGGAAAAAGAAGGAAGATTAACAAGACCCAGCGGTCACGCGCATTCCATATTTGTTACGTTCTCATATTGCGCATACGCCCGGTTGGCGGGCCATCAATCAAATGCCTAAATTACGCAGCAGGCTCCTAATCTG